CAGCCAAACAGGAACAGACCAGATGAAGCTACTCTGAGGAAACTTCCTGCACTCGGCTTCCAACCACAGCGGTCTGATGTCTCTGTAACCGTAGCAACAGATTTACAGCCAGACCGGTCCATGACACAGAGCTGGGAGCGATCAGAACTGTTTGGTCTCTGATCCACTAACAGAAGGAATGTTTTACTGCTGCTGTGGGAGTGGGTCGGTACTGGAACTAGTCGGTACTGGAACCAGTCGGTACTGGAACTAGTCGGTACTGGAACCAGTCGGTACTGGAACTAGTCGGTACTGGAACCAGTCGGTACTGGGATCAGAAAGGAAAAGGCTGGATTGGGACGCCCCTTCATCATCAACTCTCTGCTCTCCTGAACTCACATGAAACTCGACTGAAGACATTAAGAAAGTTCTGGTGGAGCCGGTTTCTGCTCAGCTGGGAGTGGTGCTGGATAACCAGTCCAACCAGTACAAGCGCAGGCCTGGATCACAGCCATTAAAACAGATCCATCACCTCACAGCCAACGGTTGCAGCAGAAACTGTCAGCAGTTAATCTGGGATTAGAGTCTCCAGCCAACGTCAGACCATCAATAATCTGTCTTTTTTTTTATAACAGCCCACCCAGAAAAAATACAGGAAGTGACATAATCTCAACCCCCTGATGGTCGGCTGGCAGGCGGCTCCTCCTGTTCGCCCATCATTCAGTTCAGCCAATGAACTGATGGGAGGAACCAAGCTGCTTATGGATCATCTGCCACTAAGACCAGGAAACGACCAACAGACCTGCTTAAAGCAGCGATCCTCTCCCGCTACCTTTACCTTCTCCACCCGGATCGGTTGGGGCGCCATCGGAAGGCCGAGCTGCTCAGTCTGACATCTACTGCCTCCCAGACGCCGGCGGCCAAATGCATGATGGGCGGCAGAACATGGTGGAAGAGTGGCTCTGATTGGCTGGTGTTCACAGTGGTTCTGGTTCTACTGGAGGTCCGTTTCCACGCAGTTAAACGCTTCCAGTCAGCGACCGGATACGATGTGTTCAATGACATCCGTTTAAATTTAGATTGTGGAGGTAGCGCGGTGGCGGCATTATTGGACCTCAGAGCCGCTGCTATCCCGGAAAGTGGGCGGAGTTTATGGCTCTCATGTAGGCGGGGCTAAAGTCTGCTGGATGGAGCTGTCTGCTGCAGAACCAGATGTTTGCAACTGGTTGATGAAAAATCCATCAGAATACAAAAATTAAAAAATAAAATAAAACGTTCCTTCGCAGTCCTGCGTTCTGGAACGACGGAGAGTCGCACTTCGTTCTGTTTAACCAACTAGTTAATAATAACTAGTTAAACACCCATAATGAGGCACAGCCTGACAGTGCAGATCTATTTCATTACTGCAGATCTATTCTATTATTGCAGATCTATTTTACTGCAGATCTATTTTATTATTGCAGATCTATTTTATCATTGCATATCTATTTGATCATTGCAGATCTATTTCATTACTGCAGATCTATTTCATTACTGCAGATCTATTTTATTATTGCAGATCTATTTTATCATTGCAT